TTAGACATTTTTTTTTATGACCTAATATGAATTATATTTTTTCTAATAACTTTATTTTATTTATTATTCTTCAGTATTAATTAATTTTAAAAATAGATTAAATTTTATAACATAATGTTATTTTGATTATAGTATTTATAAAAATAAAAATAAAACGTTTAAACACGTTTAATATTTTAAATGTTTAAACTGAGATTAAAATCTAGTAGGTAGTTAATTTAAAAATATTTTCATAGAAATAAAACAATATCTTACAYAAATTGAAAATTATTAAAGAAATATCACTAATCACTGTCTTAGCCATTTTTAGCAAAAAAAAAGGAAATTAATGTGATTAGTGATACTATAATACGTATAAACGGTTTTAAAAGATTTAAGTATTAAAATACAGTTTTGAATGTAACGGTTTTACCACAATATGAGGCATCTAAACCTAAAATGAATCAAAACTTGTTTTAATATGAGACTTAAGTCAACCATGTTTACCCAGACGCCGGTTGGCCATAATAGTGGAACCTACCTACTAAAATTTAATTGAAAAAACTTTTGAATGATGAGAAGAATTTTTACCTACAATTTAACGCACTTAATGTTAGACTGCAAATCGGCCAACGCAAAGATTTCGTAATTTAACTTATATACATTCTTATATACCTAGTTGGAATGGTGTGAATTGTATAAGCGATGCTTTTGGAAGTATTATAAACTCAAATRTATCGTAAAAATTACACGTGTGTATTTGTTTTAACTGCTTTATATTAAGGAAAAAATGTCCACAGGCTTTGCTTTTTTAACACATTTTGTTTTAAAAAAAGTTTTTATATAAAACAATATGAAATGTTTTTTACACTAATAGCTTTCACGCTTCACTCATAAATCCAAATACCAAATGTAATACAAAAATTCTGAACAACAACAGCTGAATAAAATATTTATATTTATTAGGTAGTGTAAAAATTTCGTGAACATTTTTTTTTCCTTTTAGAATGTTGGTGTTATTTTAAMTGTATTTAACATCAGAAATTATATTGTTAATCCGATAAACCTATTCAGTGAACAAAAATAACGTCAATTTTAAAAATAACAAATCTATGCGTAAGGATTTTAGTTTTAATTAAGTACACAAATGTAAGCCATTAAGCGTTCTTTTGTGATTTAATTTATAATAGTTAATTTCGTACTTAATATTATGTTATAATCTTATATAATATTTAAAATATTATATTACATTATATACAATGTTTAAAAACACAATATGATATTAAAACATTGAATTTTACTGTAATTGAGTACCTATACTAGGTTACAATAATTTAACGCAAATAAATTGATTCGTACAACTATAGAATTTCTAACTGAATTAAAGTGCATTAGGCACATCATGAACTCAACAAATTACTATGTTAGTATTTGTATTTAAATCTTATGGATCATTAATGATTCACTTAATATTGAAYAAACCAAAACACGCATTGGCGCTTTGTTAAAGTATACGTTTGTAATGTAAAATTGTGTTTGTTGACGTTACATATTTCAGCTTCATAGGTACGTCAATAGTTGATTTAAGTTATTTTTTCTAGACCAAGAAMACATCGTCTCATCAACGAAAAACAAACATAAAACATATTATTATACTGCCTCGAATTTTATTGCTTTTAATGTTAATCACTTTATCAGTTGTAGATACCTAGCTACCTTTAATATTCATTATTATCCATTGTTATTTTGATTTTGTACTTATACATTTTCAAAATAGTTAAAGAATATTAATGTACTTTTTACCAATAATAATTATAACTGGATTGAATATTTTAGTTAGTCTTTTTAATTCA